GGCAGTTTTTCATGTCCCCCTTTTTTTGGTATCACGCAAAGGATAACTAAGCAAAAGGAAAATCGAGCAAGGAAAAGCGAAGCGTAACGAACATTTTTATCCATAGCCATGGATTTTACTAGGCACTAAAATTATATTTTCATTGTTATGTTGTGGGGGTCGCAGTCCCCCACTTTCCCCCGCTCGATTTTCTAACACGCTTTTCCCAACCACGGGGAAAACATTGTTACATTTTCCGGGAATTATCATCTGGCTGCTTGTTGCCTGCTTCAATGGTTCCAAGCAACTGAAAATGAATGTCAAAGGACTCAGCTTCGTGTGTCCTGTTAGTGTGGTGGAGTTGGGTACAGGTGTGGTGAGTTCCAAGAAAGAGAGAGAGAGCGCGAGAGAGAGAGTGAGAGAAGCAGAGCAACAAGTGGTTCGTGGAAGTCCTGGAAAGCAAGCATGCTTTAAGGTGAAGAGTAAAGTTCCATAAAAACATTAATTAAATTATTTAAAAATTAATTTGTTAAGCTTAAATTCTTAATAAATATGATACCTTAAAATAATAAAAATTTAAAAAGCAGAGCATTAAAAATTTCATTGATTTTTCTTAGCTTTACGACACCTAGCACGCATTTTTACTAGAACTTCTTGAATGAAATATCCAGGAAAAGTATTAAAAATATCTATTTAAATTGTTATTATTAAATAAATATTTTTTTTAACCTCAAAAGGAAAATAAATTCTAAATTATCAACTTCAATATCAATGTGTCGACAAACATTTCAATGTCTATAAGCAAAATTGCCTCATAATTCAACCAATTAAATTCAAATTGCCAAATATGAAATTTTATGGCCATTCCTAAGAATTTTCCCTATAGTTTTGGCGTATTTTTATTTAGCAAAATATGACATGAAATATACATTCACATATAAATGTGAATGTGACTAAAAATAAAAAGAAGAGAAAAAAACAGGAAGGGGACATATTTTTGTTCGACAATCAAATGGAAATCTAATGAAAAGTGCGCAACAAAAAGTTGCAATTGCAACTTGCTGGGTTTTTGTTCACGAATTTGGCACATTTATATATATTTTACTCTCCGTCTCTCTCTCTCTCTTTTGCTGGAAAATTAATATATTTTAAATATGCAGCAATATTGAGGAATAAACTTTTATTGTCAGCAAGAGAGAGAGGGGGGGAAAAGGTGTATCGGAAGTAAAAACAATAATATGAAAAGGTCGACAAAATACTTTAACAAATACCAAAAACCGACATTTTATGCATATTTTATTTATGCCCAAACCAAAAATATATATACAAAATACAAATATACAATGCACCCACAGGGAATAAGGACGATGGGCAAGGATATAATCTTCTATATATAAATAATTTAGCAAATTTTAAGCCCATAAACAAGGCAATAAAAAAATAAAAATGTTACTGAGAAAAGCATCTTGAACTCATTTATTTAATATTTATTACCTATTCAGGAAATTGTATTTATTTTAAGAAGATGTTTTTATATGAATACCTGATTCATTTCAAAAGTTTACTAAGCTTTAAAAATATATTATATATATTTCTTTTAAGGAAAGTCTTTAACTGGTTTTTACATATTTAAATAACCTTCTTGTTGCTTACTACAAATTATTTAAAAATTGAAAAAATAGACTTCCACAGTTTCTGTAAATATCTGCTAATCCTTCCCCCTAAAAAAAGTGGACGTGACTTTTTTATATTAGTTTATTGCACTGCTTCTGGCGGCATTTTTGCATTTAATGCCATAAAAGTTTATCTCTGCAAATGTGTCTGTTTTAATTTTATTTTTAGTATTTTAATTAAATAAAAATGTATTTGTTTACATAAACAAAACCAACACATGCAAAGAGCTTAATTGAGAGCATTTTGTGCCATTTTACTCTCGTTTACAAGTCTCGAAAAAAACGTAACTCAAACAAACGACATTTTACTTAATTAATCACAGAAAAGTGAGAAATGAATGGTCTTTGAAATATGTAAGTAAGATGTCTGACCTTAAGTAAAATGGATTACAAATTTACATTTAGCATTTATTTTATAACAAATTTATTAGGAATTTAAAAGGTTCAAGAAACTCTTAAATTTGTGGCAAATTTATACATTTTACAAGGTATCCTGGTATCTGTTTTATATAAATTTTTGTTGCAATTTTCATTCCATTTCAGTTCCGGTCTTTAAATGTCGGTGTCCAAACAACCCAAAAACTTACATTGCCAAACGCATCCGGAGTCAAAATTGTTGCTGATAGTTTTTTTATTTTTATTTCATTTAATTTCTTGTGCTTGCTTTTCGGTCTCGTTTCGTGTGATAAACATATCACAAAAAATGTTTAGTTTTTAACCAAAAAGTAAAGTGCAAAAAATTGTCACTATTTTTTTGTTTTTTTTTTTGTTTTTGCACTATCATAAAAATGATGGCAATTAGAGAGAGAAAGAGAGAGAGGGGTTTTCTTTCCTTTGTTTTTTGTCCCTGTGTTTGATGGCGTTATCACCATTGTTTGTTGCCATTTTAATTGTTGTTGTGGCTCCTGACAAAACGTTTCAATTAGTGCGATTATTGCATAAACAACAGAAGCAACAAAGCTTAAAATCATGGCTGTAGCTTACGCTTTTTATTTTTTGTAACAAAAAGCAAAAAATTGCACCTGACTGGCTTCTGTCTTTACAAATTGCTGGACGAGTTTTGTTGGCAATTCGCATATTTTTTCGGCATTTATATTTCTGCGAGCACAATTTATTATTTTGGCTTCAATTTCAGCCAAGTTAAGCTATTGTTTAATTTGGATTTTTCTTAAATTTTGATTGCATTTCAAATTTTAAACTTAAGCTCTTAGTTTTGTAATAAAGCAAGGGCTTCTATGGCTTTTTGGGTTGTGAACAGATTTTGTTTTATTTAAACTAATCTCTTTTTTGGTTCTTGGCAATTAGCCAAGTTTAATTAAAAACTTTACAATAAAATTCAGAGGGTATTCCCCTTTGATCTATGACTTTTGAGAAGGTTTTTGGACTCTGTTCTACTTGGGAAAGTGGCTTTTGGATTCTGGTTTGTGATCTCTGATCTCTGATCTCCATTCCCCGGCCATGGCCCATTGTGCGAGTGTCCATTTACTGGTCTCACTCTTATGCAATGCCCAGCGGCTTTTAGCCGTGTCAGCTGAGCTCTTAACGCGCCTTTGTTGCTATTGTTGATTATGTTGTTGCTGCTGCTCATGTTGTTGCTGCTGTTGTTGCTGCTGCTCATGTTGTTGCTGCTGTTGTTGCTGCTTTTGTTGTTGCTGCTGCTATTGTTGCTGCTGCTGCTCATGTTGTTGCTGCTGTTGTTGCTGCTGCTGGTGTTGCTGTTGTTGCTGCTGTTGTTGCTGCTGTTGTTGCTGCTGCTGTTGTTGCTGGTGTTGTTGCTGCTGCTGCTGCTGTTGTTGCTGCTGTTGTTGCTGCTGCTCATGTTGTTGCTGCTGTTGTTGCTGCTGTTGTTGCTGCTGCTGCTGTTGTTGCTGCTGCTGTTGTTGCTGCTATTGTTGCTGCTGTTGTTGCTGCTGCTGTTGTTGCTGTAAACAGCATTTGCAGCTTGTGCCGTTTACAGCGTTTACTTTACAGCTTCGTGCGCGGTCGACGGCGACGTCGTCACTCCGGCTGCACTTCTCAAGCCTGACTTGGCACAGTGGGCCTAGATGCTTACATAAAACTAAGAAAAAGCATACCTAAATATAATTTATTTAATTAAAAAGAGATTCTTAGAAGTTCTAAGTAATGTTCCATAAACACTTGCTTTAAGTAATTTAAACAACATTTTGTTTGAATAAGCCGAAGTTTGCAATTAGCCAATGGGGCCGAATTTGAAATCAATTAAATCTAAGCTACAAATTTAATTACAGTTCTATTGTATTGGTTTTTATTAGGTTAACACAGCATAAGGAATTTAATTTTAATAAGCTGCTATATATTTTTTAAAGTATGACATTTTTAATATTTTATTTCAGTGTTTCATTTTTACTTTAATTTATACACACATAAGAAATATACAAATGTTTTAATTTTAGTTATTATTTGCTTGAAATACCATCAAGAAAATTAAATATGAGCATTGTAGGAACTTTAAATTTATTATTTTCTTATAATAATTTTTTGCGAAAATCAAAACTAAGAAAAAAATCATTAGTATCCATTCGAAATAATTTTCTGTGCTAGGTTTAATAAGAATATCAAATCAACATTTTTAACATAAAATTTAATTAGTTTTTCATTTTTGAAAATTGTATTCATAATTTTTTAATGGTATTAATTTTTTCCATCGGATATCGACTTACCTTTTTATGCTGATCAAGAATATCTATGATTTATGGAGTAGAAAATAACTCCTTTTCACTTTCCCCTAATAACCAAAATGATTAAATATCCAACATTTATTTGTATATCCTCTAAGGGTATAAAACAAAAGACTGAAATGACTTGAGTATTACGTTTAATGTTTCATAAAAGAGATCCTTTAAAAAATATACCATACAATAAAATTTTTAACTATTGAATGCAAATATTTATATATATATTTATATATAAACCACTTAATTTATATATAAACATTGCTCATATCAAAAAGGTTCCCCGCAAAACCATCTAATCGCAACCACTGTGCTGGCGCCTCGTTTTGCTCTTTGAAAACAAAAAAAAAACCCTCTGCCTCTGCTGCTGTCGCTGCTTCAGCCTCAGTCGACGCCATCGGTTATATGTTTTTTTGTAGTGTTTTTGAGGCTGCATAAAGTTTAAACAATTTAGTACTCATTCGCGTGCGCCAAAACCAAGTAACCAAGTTAACAAAGTTGCCGGTGAATTCGGTGGAGTTTTCAAGCGGCCGCCAATTCAGTTTCGATTTCTGTTTCAGTTTCAGTTTCAATTTCGATTTTGATTTCGTTTTCGTTTTCGTTTTCAAATTCAATTTAGTTTCGGTTTCGGTTTCGATTTCGGTTTCGTACTCGAAAGCTATTGATCTGTTTTCAAGTGTCGATTGATTGGCCGATTGATTAGCGAGCCACGTGAAAGTGAGTTTCATTGTTTGTTTTTCCCATTTTTTTCGTTGTTATTTTTATTTTTTCGTGGTCGTGCTGCACTTCAAGTTACAAATATTTTTTTTGGAAATAAAAATATAAATGGTTTTTATGTTTTTTTATTTTTATTTGTATTTTTTTGGCTGCCTTGAGTTTGGCAAGCGGCGCAAACGTTAACCCACCGCTGACCTCTGCCTTTCAACGCGTGTATGTGTGTGTGTTGGGCAAGAATTTTAACGAGTGTGTGTTGGAAAAACAAAAAAAAAAAATATATATATATATATGCCAAAATGTGTGCAATTGAAATTGTTAAAATTTGGAAACAAAAAAATGTTTGTAATGGTAGCAGGAAAATGTATATTTAATATTTTTAGAGGAGTCTGTGTGAGGGCATTTTGGAAAAATATTATAAGCATTTAAAATAATAATAATAAAAAGAACAATAATAATAAACATTTAATATAATGTAATATAAATAAATCAAAAATCATCATTAATAATGACCTACTTTTAGTCTTTTTGAAGTTTATTTCAAAAGCATTTAAAAAATAGTAAAAAATTTAATGTATTAATAATAATGAAATATAATATAATATAATAATAGAATTTAATAATAATGAAATATAATAAAAGAAAACATATACCGTAATGTAATATAAATTAAACAAAAAACATCATTAATAATGCCCTACTTTGTCTTTTTGAAAATTATTTCAAAAGCATTTGAAAAATAGTATAAAGATATAATGTAATATTAATAATGAAATATAATAACAAGAAACATAGAATATAATGTAATATAAATTAATCTAAAAACCTCCTTAACAATGCCCTACTTTAAGATATATTTTTTAAAATTTATTTCAAAAGATTTTAAAAAATATAATGAAAATAAAATTCAAAAATAATAATATAAATTAGTCACAAAACATCATTAATAATGCTCAACATAAAGTTATCTTATTGAAGTTTATTTCAAAATATAATAAAATAATAATAATGAAATATAATATTAGGAAACATTTAATATAATGTAATATAAATTAAAGAGAAAACATCATTAATAATGCCCTATTTTAAGTTATCTTTTGAAGTTTATTTTAAAAGCATTTAAAAATAGTATGAAAATATAATGTAATAAAAATAATGAAATATAATAATAATATTAGGAAACATTTAATATAATGAAATATAAATTAAACAGAAAACATCATTAATAATACCCTATTTTAAGTATTTTTTTTAAATTGATTTTAAAATCATTTAAAAAATAGTATGAAAATATAATGGAATAAAAATAATGAATAATAAATAATGAATAATAATAAAATATAATAATAAAAAACATATAATGTAAAGTAATATAAAATAACCACAAAACATCATTAATAATGCCCCACTTTAAGTTATCTTTTTCAATATTATTTCAAAAGCATTTATCTGTACCCAAATTAATCATGAAAACACCTTTGAAAAGGCATGCATTTTTTCGGGTCTTTCTTTTCCTGTTCGTACCTGCAATGCATTAATTTTATCTCTATGAAAAGCCGGTTTCCCTTGCTCTAGTTTTTTTCTTGGGGTCCCACGGACTTCGACAGGTGAGCATCTCATCGATAACAAGATGCTGGTAGAGTCAACAGATCAAACGAAATCTTCAACGGCCTTGAGACACTGAAAGATCAACAAAAAAATACAAAAAGCCAAAATTCCACACGGGCCATAAAGGCAAATAAATAAAAAATGGATGCGAGTTGGATTTTCTGTTGGTGAATTTTAAATCGCTTTTTGCTGCGATTTTTTTTGTGTAGCTTTTTTTATGTATTTTTCTTATAAATTTTTGTTGTCTTGGAAGGCAGCGACGCATGCGCAGCGGCGTGTAAACAATTTTGACCCAATTGCCAAGCCTCACTTGCCGCGAAATGCCGCTTTACGACGCCTCTCTCGAGTCGAGTTCAGTTTAGTTTATTATTTTTTTAGTATTTTTTTTTTAGTAAATTGACGCGTTCGCCTTCGAAGCTGCACTGGCTGCTGCATTGATTATGCAACATGTCCAACAGATTAACATATCATGACAAATATGTGCAATTTCTGTTAAATTGATAGACAGCGTTGGAAAAGTGGTAAAGAAAACGCAATGGGTATTTTTCAGTTACGCAGTTTGAAGGAAATGTTAAAGCAGAGACAACATGACACACGGAAAATCCCAAAACCAAAGAAATCAATCAAAATTAATCAAGCAATAAAGTAAATGTTTAAGGGGGAAATTTGTTGGGTAATAGGAAAAGATTTTTCATCAAGAAAAGTTTAACTAGAAAGCAAAATTGAAATAATCTAAGAACCACAAGTTTTTAAATTTCTTTACCATATTCTTGGTAATAGAAAATATAGATTTTTTCATCAACTAAAGTTTACAACTATTATTTATAATTTTTAAGCATTCAAAAAGCAAAGTTTAAATATTCTAAGTAACCAAAATTCTTAATAAAATATTTCATATTTAAGTCAACAAAAGAAATACGAGCATTTTTAATTCAGTTAATTATATTTTTACAAACAAGAAAATATATATTTTTCATCAACTAAAGCTTAATACAATAATTTATATAATTTAATCATTCAAAAAGCAAAGTTTAAAAATTCTTACAACCCCAAAACCTCCATTAAATAATTTATATTTTAACAAAATAAAGAATATCATGCGTTTTTAAATCACTTTACCATATGCTGGATAATAGAAAATATATTTTGCATCCACAAAATTTTATTAAAATTATTTATAATTTTTAAGCACGAAAAAGTTAAGTTTAAATATTCTAAAAAACCCAAATTGTTCATTAGATAATTCATACTTTAACAACAAACAGAACCAAGCATTTATAAATCATTTAACCATTTGTTAAATACTAGAAAATATATATTTTCTACAAATTACTATTATTAATTATAATATTTTAGCATTCAAAAAGCCAAGTTTAAATATTCTAAAAACCCCTAATTCTTCATTAAATATTTTATATTTTAATAACAAATGAATTGCAAGCATTTTTAAATCCCTTAACCATATGTTGGGTAATAGAAAACATAAATCTTCCATCAACGAAAGTTTTCTATTATAAAGTATATAATTTAGGCATTCTAAGACAAAGCTTAAATATTCTTAAAAACCTTTATTCTTCATTATTTAATTCATATTTAAATAAACAAAGAAAGGCAACAATTTTTAAGTCACTTAACCATATGTTAGGTAATAGAAAATATATATTTTCCAAGGAGAAATGTTTACTATTATAAATAATTATAAATTATAAAACTCTTATATTTTAGCATTCAAAAACAAAGTTTAAATATTCTTAAGAAACCAACAAATTCTTCATAAAATATTTCCCATTTTAAAACCAAAAGGAAAGCAAATCACTTAACCATAACTTGAAGTTAAATAATTTCCCAACCCTTCCCTTTTGGCCGCCAAAAAAATGCCATTACCTTCACGTACGCATTAATCATACGTTCGAGAAAACCCACAGAGACTCTCTAAGCCCGAATTTTTGAGCTGGCCAATTGAATGCTAATCAAAAGCCAAAAAAAGCAAGCCGTGAAGACAATTGACTAAAAAAGAAACCCAACTTCGGTCCGGCCCTCGCCCATCAATTACCACCTGTCAATGTCGTTCGCTTTTTTTTCACCGGCTTCCCAAACGCATATACGGTATTGGTCGAAAGAATCCGGCCAAAATAATCAGAGAAAACCAAGTCAGAGTTGGCCAAGAGCCGGCGTATGACCTTGGGGGTTGTCGTCGCTACTCGGGGTTTTTGTGGTATGAAAGTCAAGGTCGAATTCGTTTTTGTTTTTTTATTATTTGATTTCTTGTTATTTTTGGTTTGTTTTTTTTGTCGCTGATAGTTGTTGCATGATTAGCATTTACTATTATTGTTGTTATTTTTTCTCAATTCCACTTTGAGGGTTTATTTTTATTGTTTTTTTATCCAATCACACTTTATGAGTGTCATCGCCAAATGCAGGTAGATACAAATTGATTAGCCAAGGGAAATGTTTGTTTATTCAGTCATAGCAAATATTGAAATGTCAGTGGATAATATATATTTTTATTTTTAGTGCTTTTGTTTTTTTTTTAATATTCGATGAAGAAATGTTGTAAACATTTCAAATCCCCGCATGTGACAGTATTTAATTTATGTAAAATGTTAAACCAAATCATCAACAAGTTAATTAACTTTGATTAAAGTTTTTAGATAAACAGAAAAATATCATTAACTGACTATAAATGAGTATAAATTTATTAAAAAGATTTCTATATGAAAAATTATTTATTTAAACCCAAAACCAATTATTTTTAGTGCTTTTGTTTGTTTTTTTTTTCTAATTTTCAATAAAGAAATGTTGTAAACATTTCAAATCCCCTCGTGTGACATTATTTAATTTATGTAAAATGTTAAACCAAATCATCAACAAGTTAATTAACTTTGATTAAAGATTTTAGATAAACAGAGAAACTTTTTAACTAACTATAAATGAATATAAATTTATTGAAAATATTTCTAAATGAATATCTATTTATTTATTTACTTTTCAAACTCAATGTATCCTTCTGCATAAAAACCCTTTCTAAATCGATGCACAACTTGACTGAAAATCTCAACTAATTTCGGTTTTTCATTCACAACCACCCCCACCCCTTTTGGCCTTGTTTTTCCACCCATTTTGCTGTGGGAAACTCGACAGTTGCCGGATAAATATTATCGAGCCATATGGAATCAGTAGAATCGAACAAACGTATTTATGCAGCTGCAATTGAAGAAATAAGAGCTGTGGGCTGGAGTGGGATTAAAAATTATACGCTAAACTTCGTATAAGGATAACTTAAAGTTTTTCTTTTTTTTCCACAAGCACCAATATCAATATGTATGTATGGTTTATTTATTGACTTGACTTGTATCCTGGCGCTGCGGGATGCCGCTTTTTTTGACAGTTGGCAC